GCGATTTGCTTTCGGCTGCCATTGAAATGGGGAGGCATTTGGGAGGGGAAGTTTAAGTACAGGAGAGATTGTAAAAAGGGAGTTTTGTTCTCACCGTCTACTGCGCATGTTGGTCAAGGCCAACCGTCCCGCATACCAACCTGATGATGCTCCTTGAAGATGGAACTCACATGACACCTAAGGGATTTGCAGATTGGACAGTGGGATGAGGGTTATCGGGGGGAGGGGGTTGGTCACCTATTGATATGTATGATTTTGTGCGCTTTTGCCTCAGATCTTGCTTTGCTTAGCTGCTATCTTTTCATAACCAGTAAAAGTACTCTTAATTCTGCAAAATGGAATTACGTGGTTTCTTTCTTGATTGCTGAGGGAGGCCGGCTTGACATTAAGCAAGATCTCATTTTCACACTCAGCCCAGAGCTAACACCTTCCGAGGGGAGTGTAAATAAAACCAAAACCTTCAAAGGAATGCCCTACCCAGGCAGCGACCAGGAGGACGACATGGGGGCGGCTGCATCCTCGTGTCCTTGGAGATGGAGCAGATGGCGGATCTGAATTTGGAGGAATGATCCGTCCGCCCCAGGTAGTCATTGGGAGTGGGACAGAAGTATGATTCTGAGGAAATTCTGGCTGGAGTTACCACAAGGTGACATCGGCGGCTGGCAGCTGCTTGGCAGGACGCCAATGAGGAGAACCTTATGATGTCCCAAGCTATGAAACTCTTTCAAGAGGCTTGGGAGAGGCGGGCGTTTATGCGAGAGCGGTCCTGAAAGAGAAGCTGATCTCCCAGACCTAGAAGACAGAACTGCAGAAGCCCTGTTCCACCCAAGGGGGGCCCTGGGGGCAGACAGTGAAGCTCATCAGGATGGGAAAGCTCCAGCAGCAGCAATAGCAGACGCGAGAGCCCTTCCAAGAGGAGGAGCCCTCTCCCCCCCGCAGATGCCGATGGCAAAAGTTCCTCCGCTTGGTGTGAAATTTGGAGGTGATTTTTCCTGGTCCAAGTCTGGAATTTCATGCAACAGTTCGGAGAGGAAGAAGCCAAGGTAAGAGTTCTTCCCCCTGCTGAGAGACTATTATAGATTTATGGTCGCTCTGAGGAAATGCTTTGATGACCTGCTCATGGAGCGGAAGGCCAGAACCAGAATGAAAACTCTTACCCAGGGGAAGAACCCAGTGGCTGATTACATACAAGAGTCTTGTAAATTGTCCGTTTATATGTGGGGTGGTCGGAAGAAGCTTTAATGGACAGTTTTATGGATGGCTTAAACAAACATATATACCAAAACTGTGTAAATGGGGGTGGGATGGGGTGGTAACTTGCAATGCTGGTACGAATTGGCAGAAGATGTAGAGATCGATCTAGCTAGAGACAAGTAACACGATGACAATGAGAAAGAGAAAGCTACCCCTCCCAACCCCCCACCCAAAGGAACTCCGAAAGGAGGAAAAAGTTGGTCTACAAGCAAGCCTCATTCTATCACCTGCTTCCGTTGCGGAAAGGAGGGGCACTGGGCAGTAAATTGCCATTCCAAGATTGGCCCAAAGCCCCATCAGGGGTGGGGGGAGAGAAAACAAGACAAACAACCTGGGAAAAGAAGGGACACCACAATGAAAGGGATGGAACCTGTTGCACAATTCCCTCCCATCCCAAGAGAACTATCCTCCTCATTGGGGGAAAATGAAACCGAATCCGATGACAACCATCTGGTAAGTTTCCAATCAGGCCCCATGACCATCCCAGTAGAACTTATAGTGCCCTCTACTGGCGCCCAAGCAAAAATGCTGGCCCTTTTAGACTCGGGATGCACACGTTGCATTGTTAGCCCGGAAGTGGTGGAAAAAATGGGCTTGAAACTGAGAACTTTGAAAATCCCCATTGCTTTTGGCCAGCTAGATGGGTCTATAGCTGGGGGGGCTCCTGCCCATTTTGTTACTGAACCTATAGATATGCAGATGGGAGATCACCAGGAAACATTAAGTTTCATTGTGGCACCGGGGATGGACCGGCCTCTCATACTGGGCTTACCCTGGTTACGTAAATGGAACCCACACATCAACTGGAAGAAAGGGTGGTTGCGCATCCAATCTGCTAAACCCCCTGAAGGAGAAGGGAGGCTTTTCAATATTACTAACGCTGAACCTAGCCTAGCGGCCACGGTGCAGAAAAAAATTGAGGGGGAGGAGAAAATCCCAAACGAATTTTTGGATCTAAAGGACGTTTTCATTGAAAAATCCTCTGATAAATTACCCCCTCACTGCGCAACAGATTGCAGCATTGAGATCCTCCCAGGAGTAAAACTTCCAAACCCCCAGATTTTCTCAATGACCCCACGTGAAATGGAGGAATTAGGGAAGTTTATTGACAAAAATTTGAAAAGGGGGTTTATTGAACCTGCTAGGCCACGTGTGGCCGCCCCTGTGTTGTTTAGAGAAAAGAAAGATGGCTCCTTTCATCTCTGTGTTAACTACAAAAATCTTAATAGTGTGTGCGTGGAAAATGTATACCCCCTCCCTCTGATGAAGGATATGTTGGCCCAATTGGGTAAAGGGAAGAGCTTCATGAAATTGGACCTAAGAGAGGCCTACTACAGAGTCAGAATCAAAGAGGGAGATGAATGGAAAATTGCTTTCAACTGCCCACTTGGGTGTTTACAATTCAGAGCACTCCCATTTGGCCTCTCATTAATAAATGAAGTTTTACATGAACACCTGTACAAGGGCGTGATGGTCTACCTTGAACAACATCCTTATTTACATGGAAACACATGATGAACACGTGACCTTACTACGATCAGTACTCAAGAAACTCCGAGCCACAGAACTTTATGTCAAATTGTATAAATGTGAATTTCATCAAGAGAAAATTGATTACTTGGGCTACCGCATCTCCCACAATGGCATCAAGATGGACCCAGTCAAAGTCCAGGCTGTAACTGAGTGGGCACCTCCTCCCATCCGCAAACAATTACGAAGTTTTTTGGGATTTGCGAATTTTTATCGTCAATTTATCCCCTCATTCACCAGCATGGCTCTGCCCATTACAAATCTCCTAAAGTCAAAGGGGAGGCCAAGCCCAGATCGAATAAGCCTTTGAATTGGACTATGGAGTATCAAGCCACT